CATAGACACACACATAAACACGATACGATGTATATCAGAAAGCGTCGCGGCATCAGCAGGTAATGCAGCATACCACCTGGGGGCAGTGTTGGAGTTCCCATTTAAACTCCAGCCTTATTAGCTTTGCTCTGATTAGGTTAACTTCATAACATTCTCTCTTTCACCTTCTAAAAAAAGCCTCAAGTCTATTCTTACATTTCCTTTTGTTCTCTAAACCTGTTAAAGTTTTAATATTCCAACAGCGTGTGTCAAGAAAATGACAGGGAGAAGCTGGCAGATGAAAAAGGCATCCTCTTTAGTATATACAAAGGAGAAAGAGAGAGGCGTTTAGAGTGGTAAAAACTGATAATCTTATATACACATTTAAAACTATTGTTATCCAAAACAACATGAAATGATACTCTTGTGATCACAGAAGAACATTGTGTCAGTGAGCAAGCGTATAAGAGTGTGTGCACGTCTGCGTGAGCATACCGGCTCCGATCACCCTCTCAATGCGGATCCTGGAGGGGTCGATCTCCTTGGTGAATTCGTGGACAGCCTGCGTGGGATCTTCGTATGTATCAGGATCCACGTACGTCTTTATTCCTGGGAAAGGGACTGTGGACAAACACAGCGAGTAATCAATACAGTGAAGTGGCGTACATGCAGTTTGTTTTTTGTGGAGTTTACTGATGGTACGGCTGCAACTTCATTATGCATGCTTCAAATACTACACAATCAGTGGTACTTGTACCCCACAAGGTAGTTTTACATTCACTGAGGGAATGTGGAAAGGATGAAAATAAACACACTCATGGGATTACTGATCTTTAGTTAAGTGTGGCAAAAACCAACCGCTATAATAAGCTGACTGCACAGGACCCAACATCCTTGTGTTATCGCTGAAAGCATGGAAAACAGTTTGCAAACACACAGATACGCTAAAGAGAAAATGAAAGAAATGATTGAAATATCCAGCTGCTGACAAAAACATAGTAAAAAAGCAGACAAACCCACATTCACACAGTCTACCTATCTTAGATAAATCGATAGGAGAAAGCTCTAAATTGTTTTTATTTTTTATATTATTCCATCGGCACTGGATCATAGGATGTTATATAAACAAATTCAACTCTCTCGAGACAAATGGCTTCAAACACATCCTCCCACTTCCATTTATTACGAGCTATGAGACAACAAGCACAAATCTTTAGCTAAATCCCCGCAGGGCAGCACACTGAGCACTGAACCCTCCTTTTAACCGCGGCAGGCTTTTAGCCATTATTTAAAGCGACCCTTCACCCTGCCGAAGTGTCCTTGAGCAAGTCAGCGAGTCTTTAACAAGCTGCTGCTGGTCTGGCGCTGACCCTCGCCTCCCAGCGGAGAGCTCCCAGACAGAAGCTGTGCTTCTCCTTCAGGGATCGATAGAGTATCACAAAACAAAAAAACAACAACGAGTTGTCTCAGAGGCACGAATCGACACAAGCAAAATGCCAAGGACCCGGTTCCCCTTTCACAGCTTCTGCTCAGCATCTCACACTGTGCCGCTGAAACAGGACACAGGAGATATGCACTGTATTTCACAGCCGATTGTAGCTCCGTGGCCTCGATCCTACCGTCCTCTTTGAACAGTCCTCATTTCTCTTTGTCTTCTCTTCTCTTTCTGTACCTTTCAACCCTCATCTTCATTTGAGTCTCCCTTTTTTGTTTATCCTCTAGCAAATTTCCCTCACCTTGTCACCATCGTCTTCATTTTACTGCTCAACTCCCTTTCAAATATCTCTCTCTCTCTCTCCAGTTTTCACTTCACAGCTCTCAATTCAATTTGTGATTTTCATGTCAGGAATGAAAAGTTGGGCATAAAAGATATAAAGCAACAGAAAAGTACTGGAGTGCAAAAGCTGACAGCTCAGAGATGCAGTTGTCATGTGTAACCAGATTAAGAAAAAAATAATATGAAATAATAAAAAAGCTCATAAAGCTCATGCTCATATTAATTGAAACTTAAGTGGACATAAGAAGGAAGACAACAGATGAAGGAAAGAAGAAGAAACAGACAGATGAAGGAGCATGCTAGTGGCTCTATTAAATAAATACACGTGACAAAAGCGGGTAGGCATTTTTGTATTCTGTAAAAGCTCATGGTGAAGTCGGTGCAAAATTCAATATGCAAAGGAACAAGAACAAATGGGAAATGATCCATACAGAAGTACGTGGTGCATGTTGAATGCAAAGTGAAGAGAGGTGGCTCTTAGCTCCCTACTATGGCTCTCAGACTCACTTCAGATTTATTCCCTGTTTACTGGCACCACGTTAAATTAAACATGTCACTTTCTAGACAAATATTTGGTCATTCAGACACAAGTAGTGTTAAAACCAGCTTCAAAAAGAGTTTGTTCCTTACTTAGAACTTATTTAGCAGATATTGCAAAGTCAGGCAATAGGCATAGAAAACAAAGGAAAAGGAGAGAGGCAGCTTGATTGATTTACCGTGCCCATTCTGATAATTCGCCCTTCTTTTATCCTCCGAGGTCATCTTGGCCTTGAAGTACCACTGACACCTGGAAAACACAGAGAATGACTGATTGAGTAAAAACTTTATCAGATGAGCAATAATGTGACTTTTATTGGGATAGTGGGGGGTATTGGGACTAAATACAGAGACATTTGAGGCATGTCATTAAATAAATCCTGAATTGATCCCTATGGGTGAATTCCACAAAAATAAAGATGAAGGCAGATGTCTAGCCTTCAGGGTAAAAAGGTTTTATTTGTACATGCAGTCTTCATGTTCTGGTGATCATTGAAATGAAAGTAAAAAAAAAGAAAAAGAAGCCTGGATAAATACCCAGAATGCATTTCAAGATGGCTGCAGAGTGCTTTGTAAATACACTAGTCAGTGGAACTACTGGCGGCCATCTCTCTCTCCCATGTTATCACATACCGATGGCATCTTTACACTGTAACGCTTGAGTACCTCTTTGCCTTAATTTTCCCTCAAAGCCTGACAAAGCGCTCTGCTGGTGTCATCACAATTGGTTGACCCTGATAACCAATGACCCGTAACCATGGTAACCACGGAGAGAAATTTGCATTTTAAACGTGCCTTACGTACTGAAAGCTTGTATGTGAACCTAAACCGTGATTTTGGGCTTAACGCTTCAACCAATCGTTTGATTTAAAGAATATTAAGAAGTAAACAGCAACAGAAGAGATGGCATCAAAAAAAATAAAGTAAAAATAAACGGAAATAAAAGGAAACAACAAGATGAGTTGCTTCCTTTTGTTTGTAGGCCTTTTGTATATTCATGTTGGGAATCCAAGTTATAAGGCTATCATTGTGTGGGGAAAATAAAGCCAAAGAGGTATCCCTTGCATTACATTACATCTAATCAGATGGAGTTCCTGACAAATCATGACTGGACAACAAGTAGAAAACCAAAAAGTGTGGATTTGTGTTTTGTGTTACTTTTTTGATAAAACCATTAAAATGCTTCTCCGAGGATGATAAAGGATCATGCTACTCTAACACAATTACTTTTCATTTGTTTAAGTAGGGGATGCTTGCTTCTTTCAGCTGTTACATAATCTTGCTCTAACCAATTCTCATGTCTTTAGGCTACTCCCAAAATAGATTGTGGTATTGTTATCATTTTATAGTGCTCTCTGGATCATGCTGAATTACACATCTACTTGTCACAATCACCATAAAGTTATGTGCTGCACAGTCTGGCCCTTATACACAGTTAAGCGTCTGCAAAAACAGCTTGATATAAACAACACAAGTCACGGAGCTCCGTGCGTAATGTTGGTGTTTTGAGTTCTTATGTGCAACTTTTTCAAGCAGCGAAAAACAACAAAAAATTCCCAAACAATTACTGACAACTTAAAATGATCGTTCCTGTCTCTCTACATACTCAAACATATGCGCAGATTGAAAGATGATCAGTTTTAGACTCTCTCCTCAACATTTCTGTTTAAAAACACTGCAGTGAGCTGGGTCAAACACCAGCACAATGAGGCAAAATTCTAGCATATACAGCTGCCAACTAAAATAACCCCACAGCACCAGATTGCTTCATCATTGCAGCTTATCATTTGAAATAAATGCTCAGCGACATACGTAGTCTGGCTCTGAGTTAGGTTAGATTGTCTGCTGATAAAATAAAGATGGAGGTGGTTTCATCTCATTCAGGGGACTGGCTCTGCAGCTAAAAAATATAATGCAAGAGACACACATGCAATTCACAATTTGTGAGAAAATGGAAAGAAAAGTGACATCTGTTCAGTGAGAACTACACGCAATGACTCTTAACCAAAAGGAACAAAGAAAATTTAAAGTTTTCTCTACATTCGACTGTTGGAAATAAAAAACTACGTAAAATCTCTCTCGTCCTCCTGTGTGTGTGAGTGTGTTTGTGGGAGAGTTTATCTGGGCACTGACAGACTGAGAGACAGCCAACAACAGATAAAGAGCTGCTGCCAAGAAAGTCTGAAAAGCTGAGAGATTAGATGACAGCATCTGCAAAAGACCACAGATGACTTTATCCAAATAGATACTTGGATGTTACTCTGAAATCAAAAATCCAAAAAAACCACAAAGGAACTTTTTCCGAGTTATATTTATGGCAAAGTGCTGCATATGGACAGGTTTGAAAAAACTGCATGGTATTGAGGCACTGAGAGTGAAATGATGAATTGGTGACAAAGAAGGTTTGCTATAAAGCTATGCTTGAGAGAAAATAGTTTTGTGGTGCACTGAAAGATGGCTGCTGAGGGAGTTATGTCTTTGGCTTGCCAGTAAAACAATGTAATGCATGAAAATGTCATTAAGGGGTTAGAGTTAGTTCTGTAAGACTTTGCACAATGACATGATTTTTTAATATTTTTCGACTCTTTACACCACCAAAGCAGATTCGAAATCATACAATCAAGAGATGATTGCAGGGCAGACTTTCAATGTGGGGTAATAAAACAACTGCATTAACTTTTTAGGAAATAATTTTAATACACAGCCCTCAGTAGCTCAGTTTGATGGCCAGATGAGGCCCATTTACTTACATTTCATGGCAGATAAAAGATCTGAAGTTAGTGCTGAACCATCAGAAACGTTCTCAGAAAGAATGCACTGAAAACCAAAGGCCCTGAAAGACCACATAAGATGACTAGTCTGCAGTCAAGCGGTACCTTCATGAATGGAAATACAGAGGGTTTAGAACAAGATACAAAGAGCTGGTTACAGTCAAGATTAGATTAAAACATCAATGCTATGCCATGGGCATGTCCATGGCTACCAATGTAACCTAGTGGTTACTGATAATTTGAGTGCTTATAGAAATAGCAGGATGAAATCTGAAGGGTACATGGCTATACTCTCTGCTCAGATTCAACTAACGGCAGATTCAACTGGTTGGACAGGATTTCACAGTGGAGGCATGGCATGGAGGAGAACACGTTCAACAGGCAAGTCAGTCACTTCATCCCAGTAAAACAGTGAATCCTTTTTAATTACTCGAGACAAAACTGAAGGGAGAGAGACCTACAAACAAGCAGCAACTGAAGTTGGCTGCAGTAAAGCATCACAACAGCCATTAAAACAGCATCCAAACTGTCGAAGTACTGACTTTTTAACATTTAAATAGTTACATAAAACTATCTGTAAAGTTATAATTTAAAAATATCCAAGGGAGAATATAATAATTTGGGTAAAATCATCCCTTTTCTGAAGCATCTTATGCCGGAGCACCGTCGGCCATTAAAACGGCTCACTGTTATTTAAAAACGGAGTAATGGATTCATTTAAACATGGCACTGCTACCTGTGAAGCACGTGGTTGCGTGAGAGGTGGCACAGTGTGAGGGGAGCAGTGAGGTAAAAAATAGTTATATAAAAAATTAAAAGGTGCTTGGAGTTCTCTCAGAGGATGTATCACTGATGAATTTTAAAACACCTCTTGCAGTAGAGGGCTTAATTAATAGCCATGTGCATGAGGGGCTCTTGGTCCCGCTGGTGTATCCCCTAATAAATTTTCTCATATTTCATCATTTATTAGAATATAGAACTCTATTGCCTGTTTCTTACAGTCACGCAGCATGCAAGAAGAGTAAAAGTGACAAAACTAGAGTCTCATGCTTATTAAAAGGTTGGTGTTTATTCAGATGTTATATTTATTAGCAAAGATCATGTTTGAAAAGCTGAATTTGTTTATTTTTTATATTTCCCCGTATATTTTTGAAATGAAGACAAATGATGAATGAGCTTCATCAGGCTTTTGTTACAAAGACATTTGCTAGTTAGATCAGTTCATTGTTGGGTTTGGTCTTTTCAAAGGATTTGCTAGCAATAAGAAAAATCTACAAATCTAAAAGGCTACTGTGAAAGCTCATCTTCCTTATTTTTCTGCCTTTTTCTTTGCTTCTTTTTAATACTAATTCAAATCACCATCAAAATGCAACTTTCATCCTTTTTTTCTTCCAGTAAATTTATCCTGGTAGCTTTTGCAAAATCTCGCAGAAAAGCAAACAAAGAGACAAACTGCTGCAAAAATACCTCTGCGGAGCGAGGCAGAAAATTCACCATAGTTATCCTTTAAATGAGAAGCAGCAAAGTAGAAGAGCAGAGCCCAGAGACTTGACCCAAACCCCCAACAGAGACAGAACAGAAGCAGGAACAGAGAGCTCTCACAGTCACACTGTCACTTCGGAGGAGAGTCCTCGCTTCACTGTCACTGCTGTAGACTTGTCTGCCTCTCTCAGCCCTGCTCCTCCACACCACTGTGGTCCACGAGGGATGAAGTTGGTGGTGGTGAGTGACAGAGGTCTGCAGCTTGTCCTGATTCCAGCGGGACGTGATGGAACTGCATGTTTTTGGTTTTTTTCCACTGCTCTGGGACTTGTTCGAGCTTAAATATATACAACACAACTAAAATCACACGCTACTATTAACATAACAAGAATAAACAGATTCATAAGCTGGCTTTCCTTCAAGTTTGTGTACTATTCTTATTATTATGCAGTATAGTCATCACTTCCCCATTATGCCCAAGACAACAAAAGGCGGCAAAAGTCTTAATATACCAAAGAGTTTGATAAATAAGTCATAGAAAGACAGTAATTACAAACAGCTGCAGCCATTTAGTTCCACACAGACATCAAGGGAGAGATGGAAGGAGTACTGGGTAATTTTGCCTGAGTAAAAATGGACCAAAATAAAAGCAAAGAATTTTAAACATAGGCCTATGTTGAGTAAAGGCTACCATATTTAATGTATCTTTGTATATTTTAGCCTTCCAAGGTGAGCCACATTGGATATTCATGCCCCAGTCCTCAACAGTATACTATATTTCTTGTCTAAATTGACTAGTGATAAATTACAAATATACAATACTTCTTGACTACTTAAATTCATCAGGAATGAGAACAAAGTAAATCCTGTTTTAAGGAATTTTAAGTGACACAGATCAATTAAACAAACGCTTACATAGAATAATGAATAATAAAAATAATTGCCAAAAATACCGAGGTAAAACTCAGGGGGAAAAAAAAATTAGTTATCGCTAGAA